TTTTTTTCTGAAAAAGGTTGGGTTATGCGTTTAAGGAGTTTTTACATGCATGTATGTCCACTCTTATGAGGAATTTATTTATTATCATTTTAGAAAGTAAATATATAATTACTTCACAGGTCCATATCGTTCGCCTGTGGCTCAATCCACTGTACAGCCTTTGTTTGTTTTCCACTATCTGCGTCGACAGATATGTCTTTCAGGCAATTGATGAAGTAAGGAGGAGTTAAATAGGCTTGAAATCAAATAAAAATTAGTGTTATTCAAATACTTTTGACAGAATATCAAGTTCTTTACAGTATAATTAAACAGCAAATATAAGACTCGTAAAAATACTACTAGTAGACTAATTGTTCTCGAACAATTAGAGGTCTTTCCACCTTCTTTAAATTTCTTAAATTTTCTATATTTTACTGTCTAAAGCTAATTCTTATGCAAAAAGAATTCAGATATGGCTTGAAAGATAGAAAAAATGAAAATTCTAATAATTTTGAAATGACCTTGACTTTAGACCTTCATTAAATTTTCAAGTTCAAAGGTCAAGGGTCACATTGCAATTGACCCCATGCCTCTATGACTTTTAAAGTTATAAGGGTTAATAGTAAGCGCAAAGACGTTAAAGGGCGATAACTCATATAAGGGGTCATCAGATCCTTTTGCACTGAAAAGACTGAAGTTGTGTCTAAAGACCCTGAAGACATTAGTGAAGGTTACGTTTCTCTATGGTTTACAGTTCTGAGGAGTAGCGATAACAAGGTTTCTCGAACAAGGGGCAATAACTTTTGAAGGGGTTAAGCTTAGGGGATAAGATTGAAATCTTTGAAATAGTTTTAAGAGTTCATCTTAAAGGTGCAAAGATATACACTATACGTTGAAAGACAAAAGAGCTATAAAAAGAGCTTAATTTCTCATATTTGGAATGACCTTGACATAAACTTCAATGTCTAAGGTCAAGGAATCTAATGCAGTTGGTTGCATGTCTCTACAACTTATCGTTTTGAAAATTTTTCATTGTTCGTAAACTTCAAAAACTTTCAGGGGCAATAACTGCTTAAAGGGGTTGATGAATCCTTCCGCACTCAAAAGGTCAGAACGTCTACTGACTTAGCCGAAGATATTGGTGATGGATTAGTGTCTCTATGGTTTACGGTGATAACAAGCTTTTATTGCGAAAGGGGTAATAACTCTTGGAGGGGTCAAAGTTCATATACGCAGGGTCAACTGCAAAAATCCTTTAAGGAGTACATTCTCATGGACTATAAATCTTTTCGATAAATCTTGAAACTCAAAAACACACTTGGCGGAAAAATAATAATAATAAACAGAACAATTTCAATATGTCTTTCCAGAGAAAGTTGGAAAGACCTAATTAAATAGTTGGGTACTTGTTTGGGGGGGAGGGGGGGCAGATATTCAGCGTGGAACATGTATCCTGAAAATAGATATCCATGTACATAAAATAATGACATTTTTTAAAAATAAAATTTCATTTCAACTTTTTTTAAAACAATGATTTTTTACTTACCTGACCATGACCGCAATGATAAAGACAGATGAAAATTCCCCAGGCAAATAAAAAGCGAAGCTAGATTCATCGTAGATATCATCATAAAGTATCCTGCAGAAAGTATTACTATACTTTTATACAAAACAAGGCAGTGCTTTAGCGCAGTTTGACAGGAACTTAAAGTTAACCTTTTTGGTGAATTGCCAACAAGCTGTCTATATATATACATAGAAGCTTTTTAGGATTCATGCTAAACCTGTTGTTCTTTTACCCCAAAAGTACAGGTACAGTATCACTTTGATTAATTCATGATAAGAAATATTTTTATATTTTAAAAAGTGTAACATGGCCTCAGATTAGATTTTCTTCATTTTAATATCTTTGTTTAAAATAATTTTATATTCACAATTTCCAGATGATATTCTAAATTCTGATAAAGTATCTAAACCCCAAAAAAAGAAAAAAAAAATACTCATTGCATGTACATTGTATAATTTATTTTAAACATGATTGAAAGGACGATGCATTTTAACTAAATGAAGAAAAGACTTATAGATATACTTCGATTATTTAACTTCTTTGCATAAAGGAATGTGCTTTTTCTGTAGAGAAAAATGTTTGCCTTTCTTAGCCGATGTTATCCTAGTTATCCTGATAAATTTTTTTTTAATATTTCATGTGTGAAGATGAAAAATAACAAATGAAAATTGATAGAATACGCTGACAAGAAATTGATTCTCGCGAGTACTAGTCAAAATTTACGGACAGTGCTCCATCTAAAAAATCCCGTAAATAATATGAATAGTCTACAGGATAAAAACAGGGACTTTGGAAACACCACAGGTGAATCCATGAACGTTTTGAATAAAATTAAAGAATGGAATTTATTACCTTTTCAACAGTGAAATACTGTGATTTATTTATTGAATAAAAGTGATATTCTCTCACAGTGTGAAAGGATACCAAAGTGATATTCTCTCACAGTGTGAAAGGACATCAAAGTAAGTAAAAAATAATTTCTGGCCTGTAATGAGATAGAGATAGCGACTAACCCATCTTGATAGAGACTAAAACTGCCAATTTGTTTCCAAATGTGTTGCTTTTAAAATCTATGTTACAATGTTTTCAATCTCACAAATGCTCAGCTTTGACGTCTCAACTGCTCAACTATGACATCACTGCCTATGACACTGTGTTAAAAAAAGACAGGGACAAAGAGAAAATCAAAGAAAATGTATTAAACAGAAAATTCTATGTTTTATAGTTCGCACTCGTGAAAATATCAAAAAATCCTGTCCCACTCGTGAAATAAATTCCATATCCAACTAAAACATTGAATATCCTCTATTTCGTTCATCACTTACTATATTTTCATTTACATCACATTGTTTTCAATGAAGAATATTACGTTTATGTAATTCTAAAGCTCTAAACATAAATGAAATGCATTCACATGTTATCTTTGGCAGCTATAATATCTCTATAAGGAAGAAAAATTAAACGTTGAATAAGCAGTAAATATACCTGTATCGTCATTTTGTTTTTTGTTTTTTATGTAAACATTGTACATGTAATTGTATTTCTGTTAAAAGGTATTATATCCGCTAGGTAATGTATTTTTCTATGAAATCAGGAAGAATTGTCATTTCACGATTTTTTATGGAAGGAATGATTTTAGCCCCCTGTAAAATATTCGTGTTTAAATCCCGCAGACTTTACAGTACTTAATTATTTGTTTTGCATCTCTTATATATCAAAACTCATTCAAACGAACTTGCAACCCACATGTTCTATGTTGTGTTATTCGAATTATAATTCGAATTATAATTCAGCCTACATAAGAATCAGTTTCATTTTTCTATAATTTTTTTTCCAGGCGTGAAAGAGTTTTGTTTCTGAATAAAGGAACATATCTAAAATTATACAACCATTTATTTCAGAATCATTTTATGTATACATAAAAAAGGCACTTTATAATCAAAACACATTATTTTTGAAATACCAGTCAAAATGTTCAGTGGTTGCAATGTCTTCTTATTAATATGTCAAAATGCTATTAATGAAAGTTTTTCTTCACATTTAACAGGCGTCTTAAAATACTTTAAACCATGTGGATAGCTGTATTGAGCTTCTTAGCTATCATTATGCTTTGTCCCATAACTGAAGTTGGTGGTGGTAAGTAGTTGTTTTGTTCTATATATTATACTTAGTGATATTATTTCTTGATATAAGTTTATGTTTCAGTATACTTGAAATGATTGTCATTTTATTCATGGAGTAGAGTCTATTCCAGAAAAACTGTATGTTGTTTTACGTCCCATTCGAGATTTTTTCCCTCATATAGAGACGTGTATAAGCTCAAGTGGATCTTCTTCCATGAGGATTCATGCCTCAGGTTCTTAGGGTATGAGGAATGAAATGTATGGAGATAACGAACAGTATTCAAGCTCAAAAGTCAATTAAACAATACACATTTAGGAGCAGAGTAAACACAGACCTCTAAAACATCAGAGATGGGATCAGGTGCCATGGAAGAATGAGCATCCCTGCCTACGGGCCACACCCGTTATGTGCTCCTTGTTAAAGCTATAATTCAAGATTCTTTTCTTGACAAAATATAAAAAATGAAAAATTGAAACTATATTTTACTCAAATTATTACTCTTTTTAATGTGAACAGACTGCGGCGACACAGCAGCTGATATTGTTTTCATTTTGGACTCAAGTGGAAGTGTTGGATCAGTTAATTTCCAGAAAATGAGAGAGTTTTTCAAGGCAATGGTGGACGGATTTCAAATCGGTTCTAGCTATGTCAGAATTGGTTCTGTGACGTTTAGTTCATCAGTACATGACACATTTCAACTAACGGAATATTATACCAAATCTCAGTTGAAGAGTAGAATCTCAAACATCCCCTTTGACAGTGGAGGTACAAACACAGCGGACGCAATCCAGTATGCTCGAACAACCAGCTTTAGTTCACAGTATAGCAGACCCAATGTTACTAAAATCGCTGTTGTTATAACTGACGGACAGTCAAATAGCAGGCATGCCACTTTATCGGAAGCCAAATTACTACGTAACAATAAGATAATTATCTTCTCTGTTGGTGTCGGTGGTGGGGTGGATATGGCTGAACTGGAAGGAATGGCATCAAATAAGAGCTATGTTTTTGATGTGTCATCTTTTGACGCTTTGGATACTATTCGGGAAAAGCTTACTAAAACCACTTGTGAAGGTAACAAGATAACTCTTAATTTCATTTAACTTTCATGCATGTCTTGATACCAGTTTGGGCTTTGTGGTCCTTCTGAATATTTATATTTTGAAGGATAAAAATTATATATTCTTAAGAGAAATTATTCTCTTTCTTCTTCATTATGTAAATATGATATCTCAGTTGTACGATAATACTTCGCTATGTAACTTATTGGTTACAAATCGAGTATAGCCAGATACCAGACGTCTAATTATATTTTAAATGTTTTTACAAGTTATTTCTTGTGGACATCCTGGAACGCCATTAAATGGATATCTTAATGGGAGTGACTTTTCTAGTGGAAAATCTGTTACATATGGCTGTAATAACGAATATAAGCTCATTGGCGACAGTCAAAGGACCTGCTTAAGTAATAAAACCTGGTCTGGAAGCCTTCCAAAATGCATCTGTTAGTATTAACATACATGGCAATTGTTAATGAATGCTACATTTCTGAATAAACACACAATAAGACAATGAAAAGAGTTTATAATGTGAAAATTATCATTTCGCAATGTTTTTGTTTAGTTTGTTAATTAAAAATAATTTCAAATATTTTTTTTTGTTATATGTAGTTTGTTTATTTCTCTGTAAGAAGTATATTGTGGAGTGTAAAAAAACCTGGACATTATTCATTAAAAACAAAAAAAAAGCTTTTTTTCTTCTTGAAATAATTTGAATTATCTAGCATTTCTTTATTATTTGATCTTTATGATAGTTTTTAACACATGCGGGAGCAATCCTTGTAAGAATGGGGCTACATGTATAAATGGAGAGAATAAGTACACCTGTGATTGTGTCAGCGGTTACTCAGGAGTTCACTGTGATCGAGGTATGTGCAATTGGTGACAAATGAAGCAAATGTATTAAAGAGCAAACTCTTGTCAAGACTATAGATTATACAAGACATGTTAAATTCAAGTTACGTATTTCAATTTCAGTAAAACTGTCATTGAATCAGTTTTACTTCCTTAAAGCAACGTGTTCAGGAAATTGATTTGTATACAATTAATGTTAAAGTGTTGAATTAAAGTGTTGAAGTTTGTAGCAAGAATATTTCGCAGGCATCGAAATAAAAACAATTTTCTTGTATATAAGATATCCAGCCACCATTGGTTCAGGACTGTCCCTCAGACATACGAAAAACGTCACCATCGCGACATGTTGATGTGTTCTGGAAGGCACCACACTTCTACGATCCATTAAATCACACTGTTGAGGTTACTACAAACTACCCGGATCACGGATCAACCTTTCTCTGGGGAGACTATGTCGCTCGTTATGATGCTTTAAAATCCTCCAACGGTCTCAGAGCCGAATGTACCTTCAAAATCATTGTTCGACGTGAGTTTGAATATATCTAATCAAGTCTCAATTGTACAAATTCTACCTAAGTTGAATCTGTAAGTATTGAAAATAAAATCTTTAAAAAAATAAAAAAAAAAATAAGTAAGATTATAGTACGTTGCAAACACTAACGTCATTCGTTAGGACTGCCTCAATAATTTATTTTGCAGAAGTCTTTGAAAACCTCCTAAAATGAAATATATGGAGATAACGAACAGTATTAAAGCTCAAAAGTCCATTAAACAATACAAAATAGGAGCAGAGCAAACACGGACCTCCAAACATCAGAGGTTTGATCAGGTGCCATGGAGGAGTGAGCATCCCCTGCCGACCGGTCACACCCGCCGTGTGCTCCTTGTCATGATCGGGAAATAACGGAAAAATCCGTCGACAATTCAGTGTGTAAATAATGGCCTAACAATTGGTATGAAAAAAATCAACGCTTAACGCTAATTACTATTTAATCAATGTTTTTTTTTTTAAAATTGCATTGTAATTTAACTTTTAAAACGTGACTTATTTATCCTTCAAAATTCAATCTATCATGTCTCATACCATTTAGTTCATTACTTCTTTACTTAATTTGATTACGGAGTACTCCCTTCTTCTATCTGATCAATATGCAGGGCTCACGGCTGGTGTAACCAGTCGACAGGATGCTTACTCCTAATAGGCACCTGATCCCTCCACTGATATTTTCCCATAGTCCTTGTGCATATGCTCTGTTTACGATTCGTTTTGTGTACTGGATTCATGAGATCGATCCACGTTCGTTATTTTCACCTTTTACAATTTAGCTAACCCATGTCCGAACGTTACTATTCCAAGAAATGGTGCTCTAGTTTGTAATGGATGGAAAAGGGAATTCACTCAATTCTGTGTAATTTTCTGTCAAACTGGTACCCAACTGAGTTCTGGTCATGACTTCCGCACAAGATACATCTGTGGTGGAAGTGGACAATGGCTGCCAACAGGAAATCTTCCTGCTTGTGAATGTGAGTATCAATATTTTGTACAAGATTTCCTTTTTGTTTGATCAGGGTATAAGGAATTAATTATTACATGATCGATGGTATTTTTTTTCTTCCATAATAAATTTGATAAGGCATACAATCTATATAAATTTGTATAGCTAATTGTGTATGAAGTTTCTTAGAACCATCAAAAGATAATTTAAATATTGCATAATATTTTGTAAGTAATCATAATAATTGTAGTTGAAAATCCCACTCAGAAAAATAAATCAAAGGAAAACAATATGCGTGATACAAGGAATTTTCAAAATACATTTCATTTAATGTATGATAAGCTAAAAACAAACGTTAAAAATCATTTCAATTTATGCTTGAATAAACAGGTTTTGCCACTTAAAGTTTAATTGTTCAAGGTTTCTAATTAATGTTCTGAAAGTAAAAAAAGAAATGTATGTTTGTAAGGGTGATGAAAAAAATGCAAGAATCTAAAGAACGTAAAAAGTCTACAATTTTTTAATATTTTAGAAATCGAAATTTTTGCGTCATTTAAAACAAAATTAAGTCCAACAAAATATTCCGATCAAGGCATCCATTTTTTTTTTATGTAATCCGTATCCATTGATTAAGTAATTACTGCTGAAATGGGATGTAGCACAAACTGTTCCGTATTGTTGTGAATCATATTTGAATTCTATTTGGTCCAAATGATAGCTTTCCCTTTTCATTTATATGTTAAAATATACTATATATAGAATTTGAGCAGTATTTAAAGATACGGAACTTATTCGGTATGTACAAGTCTTTATCAAGGTTTAAGTACAGAAACAGCAGTGTAAAGTAATAATTTAAAAGGGAATAAGGGGTCTATAAACAGTCAGATTTAGAATTTTGGATACCATTTGCAGTGAGTTCTTATGCACATTACCTTTAACAGTAACTTAACATTAAATGAAACTCAAAGAGCTAATTTCAGCATTATTATTATGATTATCAATTTATTATTATTAGCACATTATTAACACAGACAGTCTAGAAGTTCTAAAACACTTTTTTCAGTATCTCAGGTAACACCATCAAAAGATGACAGACCATACTACTTCAAAGTTTGTGACAACAACAACAAATTTAGAATGAAGAAAGGATACCAGTGGATTTTGCAGAATTCTAATTTTAAATTTCTCTGCAACAATTACGGTGACCTTTGTAAAACGGAAAATGTTGATGCTCAGTGCTGATTTTTTCCTCAAATACTTAAATTTCAGAATAAAGCTTTGTTATATGTTTAATATATAATTTTAATCTGCATATGCAATCAAAACCGAAAAATAATTTGTCCACGACATTACTTTGAAAATGGATCTCACGTTTCTTAGTTTCGTACTCGTAAATTTCACCTTACAAATTAAATTGTATTTTTATATGAAATCAGCTGTGAAAATATTTGACAGGTTAATATCGTTAGAGACTGAATTAAAATGATTAAATATGAACAAATACATTTCACCTTAGTTTGATTAAATAAATTTTTTAGGCATATATTGTCGGTTTTCAATTCGAAATTGATCTAAAACTAAAAAACAAACAAACAAACAAATTAGCTAACGATATGAGTTTATCATTTGCTAAATGAAAGTATACAACATTAAATTTAAAAACGTTTCTCATCTTTGAGATGGGTTTCATGTATTATTTGTCAAAAAAATGCAAATATTAACAAACGAACAAAAATTACATTACAACAAAGTTATCATCACATTGTGCTTTTCCCGTTAATAATTACTTATATAATATTGTAATGTTGGCGTGGTGTCTGAAGAGAGAAGAAAAGTTTTGAACAAATGACAAAATAACCCATTGTATTGTTTAAACACCCTAGGAAATACAGAAGTTTTCTTTTTCCATTTACAATATTTGTTTCAATATTACAGTTTGTATCAAATTAATACTATAACATTTACATCAACTGAGTATTATCTCGTTTATTTTTTATGAAAGCCACGGTCACTTATCAATAAGTAAATGCCGCTATCCAAGATACCTGTATAGATTTCTTGAGGAGCAGCTCTTCCATCAATGAAACATACAATGACATACATACATGTATCAACAATAAAATATTAACGTTCTCAATTTCACTTTATTTTTTTAAATATATGAATATAAACAATAAAATGTCTTTCTTTGTTAGTACGAGAATTAACGTTGCAGATATTGCAGAAAAAAATTACATACCCCTCCCCCTCACCCCTTATGCGGGTTCGTATTTTGTTTTGTCAGTACCTGTAACATTAATCCTCATACTCGGGGAAAGTATTTTATCGTTTAAACATACGTAGATTTAAATATGTACACATGCATGTATGCATGTATTCATAGTAGCAGTATGGGATTTTACTTTGAAACTCAGGGAGGGAATTTATTCTATATGTAATCAGAAAATAGAAATAATTTAAAATGTATTTTACAAGGTATGGATATGATATTTTACAAAACATCTATAATCAGAGGTTTTTTTCATAACCACACATAGTGGTGAGTCTATAAATAAGATAAAAATGGGGGATTTTGACATCCTTTGAGGTGATTTGTCATACTTTTTGCCATGACATGTTGTCTTTTTTACTGGATTCCTTAACTTTTTTCAAAATCTTTACAAAAAAGATATATAACCGCATCCTGCAAATGCTCTACCAAGCCTTTATCTATACACTTTACAAAAGTACTAACTGCTGTAAAGGAGAAACTATAGCATATGCTATAGCACACACACTGTGCTATAGCATTTTCTAGAATTGGTGTTAATCAGATGTGGATCATCAAAAATCTAAAGAATATTTAGAAAATTTAGTCACCAAATCTTTCTCGAGTCTATAACATCAAAATGTACGACTTTTCTACACTTTTCTACACGATGAGTTAAAACTAGGTCTTTTGATATCACAGGCTGCCTCTTCCATAACAACGGAACTCTGAATTTTTTACATATTGTGATTAGTCATTAACAAGATTACTTCGTTAATTGAAATTAAAAATCACTCTGATCCTACACATAAAAACTCTAAAGTTGATATCAAAAAAGGATGCTGGAGTTCCTCAAAGAGGAACAGCAGTTTTGTAGTCTTCGTAGACCCAGTCTTCCAACAAAGTGTTGGAATCCTAATTGCACTAATTGTGCTCCTTTATTAGCGGACCTGCTTTTGTATTTGTATGAAATCGAATTTATTTAAAAACTTCTACATGAGATGAAGAAAACGCTTGGCGTGTTTTTCAACTCGACATTTATATGTATTGACGTTTTATCAATTAACAATTAATTATAATTGCATTCATATGTACGTAGACTCGATATATTCCAGTGAACTTGAAAGAAAAGAAACCACAGAGTCTGTCACATATGGCATGTCAAACGTTGCAATATTCGATCTTTTGCATTTGCATTGTATAATTTTCCATTTGCATTGTATAATTTTTATTTGTATTGTATAATTTTCTATTTGTATTGTATAATTTTTCATTTGTATTGTATAATTTTTATTTGTATTCTATAATTTTCTATTTGTATTGTATAATTTTCATTTGTATTGTATAATTTTTATTTGTATTGTATAATTTTCCATTTGCATTGTATAATTTCTTATTTGTATTGTAAAATTTCTTATTTGTATGCGATAATTTTTCATTTGTATTGTATCCGCGGACTGTTTATTTGTTTCGTTACGAAGGATTTCATTGGTCAAGTTTCAGCCTGTATCGGGTTGAAGATGTTCCGGATGCTCAAAGCAAACTGGGCTCATATGTATTTGCTTGATTGATTGATTGATTATTGTTTAACGCCGAGTCGGCAATATTTCAGCCATATTTCGGCGGCATATGTATTTGCGTGCATGTTAGACGGTCATTGGATTCTAAAAAGGGAGCGCTGGTAGATGGCAAATAAATAATCTGTCCTTAGGAATGCTGACTGAGAAAATAAATAAATTGACCTTGAGTGGTGGTAACTACCCCCACCCCCAAAAAACTGAGTTTTCGGGTTTGGGCGGATTTTCTTCTTTTTGTTTTTCTCCTTGTCTCTGGTCATATTGGAAATAAATATTCTCTCCTGCGAGAGAATGAAAATAAATAATCGGATTCGACACCCCCCAAGAATCAAATGGTCGTCCCTTAGCATGCACCGCAAATAGAGGAGCCGAGTTTGTGTTTGTAGAGAGTGCGCGATCGGAATTGTGGGAAGGGTACCAGACTAAGTTTGTGATGGGCACCTGAGACCTTTATACAGACTAAATTTTATGACCAATGACATCCTTCGTAACGAAATAAATAAACAATCCTCGGATACAATACAAATGAAAAATTATCGCATACAAATAAGAAATTATACAATGCAAATGGAAAATATAGAATACAAATGAAAAATTATACAATACAAATGATTTTTTTTACAACACAAATGGAAAATATAGAATACAAATAAACATTATACAATCCAAATGGAAAATTATAAAATCCAAATGGAAAATTATAGAATACAAATAAAAATTATACAATACAAATTGAAAATTATACAATACAAATGAAAAATTATACAATACAAATGAAAAATTATACAATACAAATAAAAATTAAACAATACAAATGGAAAAGATCGAATATTGCAACGTTTGACATGCCATAGTCACATATGTTTCATATTTGGATGTTTTACTGACTATAGACGATGAAGACCAACTAACAAATACACGGTGTAGTACCTAAACGGTTGCTATCAGAACAAAAAGGCGTTCATTGTTTCTATTCGTAAATTTTACGGCTGCTAGCTGAAATAAATATGTTGGAGGAACTTGTAAAACGAGGTAAAATTGTCAGAAAGTGACACCAAATCGATTAAGTCTCAAAAAAATCCTTGTACACGGAACAAGTAAGGGATTTCTTTAAATGATGCCATATGTATTTTGGTGAACAACCTTCTAAAAATTTAAATGTTAAATGTTAAAAGTTTCCATGCTTCTTTTCATCATTTATAAGTTAGTTTGAGGTCATGTTGGTATGTAAAGATTTGTCAATCTATAATAATTCGTAGATATGATAATTTTTTATAAAAAAAAAAAAAGAAGAAGAAGTGTATTTTGAAAGAGATTTTTGGACAAAACACGATCTTCCTATGTTACGGTTACTATCAGAATGTTGGATATGTATGCACCGGCTATAAACTGAAAATAACCGGCTGCTATTTGAAATATAATTTGTTTTTCAACCAAGAAAGAGAAAATTAAAAATCTTATGGTTTTACAGGCCTAAAAAATATATTTAAAACATCCAAAGAGCATATGGAATACAATGTCGACATGTACAATTGACATTTATCAACTTAACTCGAATTTGTTGTGTTCTGCCAAATAGAGCTGATCTTCGAAAAACATCACTACACAAAATAAAAAAGAAAGCTATACGAAGGAAACGTAAGTTTAAATTAAATGAAAGAACTTTACCATCAGTACTTCCAAAAGCTTTCCAAAACTAGTTTTTTTTAATTATTGTAGCCTATATGTATACGTAGACCTAAACAGTATCTAGTACATTTTCAGTATAACCTTTGACGGTAGTGCTTTGGTACACTGTAGCATCAGAAAATACAATTAACACGTATTATTCAAACCATCGGATCTTGAATGGAGAGGATGTCCGATTCCCCCTTTTGGATGATTTTCTGGATTATTAAATTTATACAGATAGAAGAGACAATCCACCCCCCCAGGGGGGGGGGCTCGAAAGATGGGGGTTTTTCAGATGGAGAAGACTTCTACTCATTTGCTTGTCAGTTTTCTTATATTTAGTTCTATTTCTCGCTCTGTCTCTTTTGAGTACTAGTGGGCTTGGAACCCCCCCCCCCTTAATAAAAGGTGGAGATCCGAACATGAAAAAGGCTAACATTCTATCCAGTAAGTAACATATTATATGTACATTTAAAGGAGAGAGCATTACAATTATTTACAGACATATGTATACTAGTCTTTTTCGAAATAGAAAAGGGGGGGGGGGGTAGTTGTGTGCAATTCCAATTTCGTATTTTCAATACATGTACATATTTTTTGGACATTAGGAGTGTTTGACCATACTGTGCTCGTACATCAAATATTAAATTTAAAAAAGTAGTGTATTGAACTGGATGTATAATATAGTAGCATCTATAATAAGGTCTGTTATTCGAGCAAGCCGCTCACTTAATTGGATGAAACTTGTAAGGATGGTGTATCTAGAGTTGCCTTACTTATACATAGGATCCGGCCTTCAATTTTTGAAACAAGTTTGGAACAAGTAACTATATTACCACAACTCATTGGATAAAAGTTTATATCCAACAGAAACAAAAAAACATGAGAGATCCTTCATTTGTTAATCTGGCGTAATTACCCAGGTGAAATCTAATAAATTCAATAGAAGATGCACATAATTTAAAAATTAACAATTTTATTGTGTGCAGGATACTTAGTAAATGTACAGGATATTTACAAACACAACTATTATTATTAGTCATATCATACATATAGATATAGAAATAAACTAATTTATCGTTATAGGATCGAAATCAAGGCAATATAAACAAGTCAGTTATTAAAAAGAATATAGAATGAACATTTCAAATATAGTTTTCTCAACTATTTCATAATAGATGTAAATTAAGGACGTGTATTAAAGAAAAATTGAAAACTTAAGACATTTCCAATAGAAACCGGTGTTGTTGTCTAATAGTAGCCATAACATAAGTTTCTCCACAAGATAACGCTTTTGTTTTTAAGAAACCGATTAAAATGGGTAATTCTATGAAATAATCAATACGTTTTACAAAAATACACCGATCTGTCGATTCATTTTTATCAAATATCTAAACATTTTGACGCTAATTAAATATATTTCTTATGTACATGTAAGTGTGTCCGAGACCTTCGACAGTTTTCGTATTATACATCAACAATTCTTTTATTCATAAAAAAATAGAGATACGTATTAGTTTTAAAAGGTATGTTACGTTCCGTAAGGGTGAAATAATAAGCAACTAAAGGTTGATAATTGAATTATTGACCATTTTATTGAGCCAGCGAAGAAAAATACTTAACATTTCGTCCATTTTTTTC